CACGGTGGCTCAGTTGGTAGAGCTGTTGCCTCTCAGCGAGAAGGTTGTCGGATCAAATCCAGCATGGGGACCTTAATGGGTAAAGTTTGCATGTTCTTTCAGAGCATGCGTGTGTTTTCTCCCACAGTCCAAAAACATGCATGTTAGGTTGATTGGAAACTCTAAATTGTCCCTAGGTGTGAGTGAGAGAGTGAATAGTTGTATTGTTTGTCTCTATGTGTCTCTGGGATGGACTGGAGACCTGTCCAGGGTGTCCCCTGCCTCTCACACAGTGACTGCTGGACATGGGCACCAGTGACCTCAGAAACTCAAAAAAGGAAGAAGTGGGTAAAGATAATGGATGGATGGATGGATGGATGGATAGACCATCCAGATTTTACCAAACTTTCACTGGCAGATTTTTTTTACTTTAATTAGTAACTGTGCATGCTAATAGTAATTAGCAATACAATAATGTGGTAACATAAATAAAAAAAAAAATTTAAAGGGGGGGGGGGGTTGTAAATCTTGGCCAGTATGTGTGTTGATGTGGATTTGTGTGTATCTTTTGTGTCCAGGAGGCCCAGTGGCAGACTGGAAGTGATCCAGCTGATGAGGATGATGAATGACATGCTGGAGAAGGCCGGAGTGGATCAGCAGAACGAAGAGCTGACCGAGCACTGCCAAGTAGGTTTTGTACTCCGGCAGCAGACATAAACGCTGCGCTGCGTTCATGTTCCGAAAAACACATTAACTTGAATAAAACAACGCGCCTAAACGAACACAGTCTATAAGTTCTAGCTACGTATCTACAGTAGGAAATAAACCAGTGTGGAGTGACGGAGTGTGCTTTTATTGTATTTAGTGATTCTTAGCTGTGTCACAAAAATACACAAAAGTTCTTGGAAACTAGTTTATGCAACTTGTTCTACAGCTTGAGGGTCTGCTTGAGCTGGTGAAGGTTGAGCAGAACATCTACAACATTGTTTTCCATGAAGTGATCAGGCAGGTTGCCGTGGGCTGTGCTGAGCGAGGACAGCTTCTCGCAAATCTCAGGTGAGCAGACATCACAAACAGATTTGAACGTCTCATGACGGGGGGTTCATAACATCTGCAGGTCTTTAAACTGAATGTTATGATAAAGTGTGTTTTTACTAACTTGGCCTTTATCCCAGTGGCATTTGTGTGTTTCTTTTTTAGAGAGCGGTACCAGTCACTGTTGGATCGAATCCCACGACGTCTGAAGGCTTTACACACCGAGGCAGTGGCACAGCGAGCTCTGGACCGCAGACTCACTGAGGAAATCGTCAGAATCAAAGCATCCATCCAGCAGCTAAACATGTGGGTAGATCAGGATCAAACTGCTCAGACAAAGTCATTTACTGTGTGCTCAGCAGGAGTTTGATTGTTCTGTCTTGAGTAGAGATATTAGATGCTTCAAGTTTAAGTTGTAGCACTCAAAAAGTACAAGATAAGTGTTTGTCCTCTCGTTATGTGCTTTTGTATGTGTGTGTCCTCTTCACAGGGAACTATCCAAAATCAGGGACCATGATGTGTCTGTCTCCCAGCAGGTGGAGCACTCTCATCAGAAACTGGCTGCTGCTCTCAAAGAACCCTACAGCAACTTAGAGTCAGTCAAACTAAAATAAAATCACCTACAATCATGCAGTCCAAATGACAAATTCATCAAGTTTATGTGTAGCAAACATCAGATTTATTACAAGTCCCTCTTGTAAATGAGTTCTTGTGATTCAATGAGACTAACCTGTATAAATAAAGGTTGAATTAATTATTTGTTGAAATGAACTGATGGTATTATTGCAGTATTATTTTTTTTAAAAAGTAGCAGACACAGTAGTGCATAGTATTTAAAACTGTTCTCATTGATTTATTGTTTTAAGTGAGATTGTTAAAAATACTTTTTTTAAAGACAGATCAAAAATGTGTCATTATTTCATTATGTTTCTCTGAAAAAGCACAAGTGTCATCTGCCAAATGATAAAAGGTCTTTCTCAGTGTGGCTCAGGGTTACCACGAGCTGTATGAGCTGCACAGAGCTCGTCAAGACGCTCAGCTGCTCCAGATGACTGAAGAGCGAGACTTATGGAAGCAGTTCACCTTAGACCTCTCTAGAAAGGTACAGGAGCCCAAAATGTTCTTCTATTTTTTTTTTTTTTTTTTTGCCATCTCTCCTGTGTTGTGCCATTTGGCATCCTCACAAATGAACAAATTATAGCTTATCCTGAAATGTTTTTCTAATCTAAAGTAAAGAGAATTTTAAAAATTTTGGTTTTAGCCTGAAAGGTTGAAAGTTTGAGGAGGTTTATTGTCAAAGCCTCTCAGTTAAAACATTTGTTGTCATTTATATGGAAGCGTTCAGTTTATCTTCTTTCAGGTCATCGAGGTGAAGAAGCTGCATTTAGTCAGACAGCTGCTTGTCAATGAGACTGGCTGGTTGGAGACGTCAAAGCACTGCCTCTGCTATCTCTCCTCAAAGGTAAAAGTGGAGTTCCTGCTTAATACGACTGATGCAGATCATTCGATTAGAATCTGACTGTGCCAATGCCCCTCCTGCTGTAGGATGCAGAAGATCTTTATGTTATCATGAAATCAACCGACTACTGGAAAGAGCAGTTCGTTGATCTTGTGTCCCAGTTGGAGATTGAGCATGCCCAGTTTACTCCAATCATTGACATGCTACAAAACGTTGCCAAGTGGTTTTCTCACCTCATCGAACAGAATAAGTAAGAAAAGCTAAAAAAAATATCCAGAGGAAAGCATTTGACTTGCGGCTGTGACCAATTTTTATTAAAATAGACGTCTATCTATAATAATAAAGCAATTTCATTGGCAGCTATAGTATCTAATGTGTTGTCTTCCTGTTTGTTTGTTTGTTTGTTTGTTTGTATTAAAAGATGTCCTGATTCAAAATTTGACAAAACATCAGTTGAAGGCATTCTTTCTGATCTGAAGCAGTTATCAAAAGTAAGACTTAACATTTCTTCACTTTGTTTATCCATGCCTTTTTTATCTTGATGTTCACCATCTGATACTAATCTTCTTTAAAACCCAACTGAGGTTAATTTCTTGTCTGAACTTGTTTTATTTTATTACAGAATTTATATTATATTCTCACAGGGGTGCCACTGTTGGAGCCAAGGGGGGCAATGGCCACCGCTAAAAATTTGGTGGCCCTAGCTCCCCTTTGTAAAACAGTTTTATATGCATAATATTTTTATAAATACAAATTTAGGAGGACAAACTTCAATAACTGTGACCAAATCATTCTTTTTTCAATAAATAATGTATAAAAACAAAACTATCATCTTATCCTACAAGACAAAGTATCAAAAGGTAATTCCATAACTTCTGTATTTGTGAAAAATAATCAACATATAGCAACACTGAAATGTGCTTCTTTTGATTTTGGTGTGCTACCCCAGGATTTCCAGTGGCCCCCCACATGGCCATCTTATTCTGAAGAAGCCACAGTCTCGTCGTCCTATATTTATTCTGTCACATCCCTGATATGATTTAGATCAAAGTAGTCACTTTGATCTGCATCATCTCTCATAATCATCACATGCCAAGTCTAATTTGTCTCATGTTCTGTGTCATGCTGCCATCTGTCTGTCGATGATCAGATCTTTATTTTTGATTAAAAATATGAAATCTTTTATGTACCAGTGAGGATGCAGTAGTCATTTTGGCCGTCTGCACAGTTCCAAGAAATCTTGAAAAAATAATCCAATTTGGTGCCAAACATGTCCAAAGATTCTTGTGTTGCTCTGCCACATTTTGTTTTTGCAGATGTTGACCATCCATTATGAGAAATACCAGGGTGAACACCAGCGTTTGTGTCAGCAAAAACTAGGTGAACTTGGCCAAGACCTGGAACGTTGGCTACGTATGAGCCATCGGCTCTTTGACAGACACCCTACTCCTGATTTTGAGGCCACTGACGGTCACCGTACCTTACGAGAGCTGGACCAGGTCCTATCCGAGCTTGTCAAGCAGCTCGACAGTCAAGTCAGTGGGGAGAGTGGTAATAGCAGACGCCATGCACTTACTGTCACTTGAATTTTAGAGTTTCATTGCAGCAAATTCTTCAAATCCAGATGAACGAACGGAGGTTCTGAAACTAAATCGAGTTCTTTCAGGGTTCTTCAGAATCCTCATGGCACTGGTTTCGAAGATGGATTCCTGGATTTCTAAAACTGTTGCTGTGACTATCCAGAATGAAAGAATGTCTGTCTCCGATTGGCTTCACATGGAAGAACTGTTGCACGAATGCCAAAGTTGGACTGCAGAAGCATCACTGCACTTTTCAATCAGGTAAAAATAACGTTTTGTAAGAGTGTTATTCAGGCATTATTGTTTCAAATGTATTAACTTGTTTTCCTGAAAGTAATTCATATACATTTTTAGATTTGTTAGAATAGCAAATTGCTCATTTGTCGGCTTTTCTCAACAATTTTGTGCAATGGAGGACAATTTTGAACAGTTTATATTTGAATTTTTATGAGCAAGACTTTTGTCTGTTTTATTATGTCATAATAATTACAAAGGGAGCAATCTGTTCCTTTTATTTCAGAGGCATAAATTCATAATGCAGGTTTTACTTCTATAATTATAGAAATAGGACCACTTGTCATTTAATTCATTACTATTTCTCTTTATTTTGTTTAATCTGTTGTGCTTTTTCAAACAGCGTACAAACAAAAAAAGTGTTCGATGACATCCAGGGGTTCACAAACAACCTGTCCAACTTCACTGTGGGTGAGAACAAGAAACTGCAAGAAGAAGTGAGTTTTAATCATTTTCATTAAAATGTTTAAAGTTTAAACCTTTGAGAAATATTTCAAAAAAATTATTTAACACTGGCTCAGACATGAGTCGTAAAAATGTGAAGCGTTGAGACGTCATGAGAGTTTAATTTGAGCCTAAAAAATACGAGCTGACCCGGACCATTTTTTCTGAACCCGACTCGACCCGATCAAATTAACTGTAATTACAGGCCTGAAGCCGAAAAAAAAAAAAAAAAAAACGTTCTTTTTTTTAATATATTAAGCATTTACTGCTTTTGTAAACAAATCAGTTTGACATGATAGTTTTAAAAACGTAACACCAAATGGATATTAACATACAAAACGAACAGCCTAAAAAAATCAACTCTAAAGAAAGGCTGTTATACAGATGAACAAAACTTTTTTTAGAGCACAATTATTTGGAAAACTATAGAACAAGTCTATTGTAAATGAAAGCGCTGCTCGCTTCGGCTTATGTAGATGCTGCTACTTCCTTCACCGCAGATGACGGTCGGCAGGTGAGGAGACATGCGCGGCCGGTGATCAGCTGATCCATTTGAGCTTAAATGAACAGTTTTTACCTCTTTCAACTGGCGGGTCAGCAGATGCGCACGGCCGGTGATCAGGTTGTCCATCTGAGCTAAACACAACTTTTTTTTTTTTACCTCTTTCAACTGCCGGTCAGACTTGCCTCCTCCTCTACAAGTAGATGAACACAATTTTATATCATGCATTCTTATTTACTTGTATTTGTGCTGTATGATTTGTAAAACTGCATCAAAGCCCGAGACCGGCCCAGCCTGCACATGAAGCACATTAATATGGCCCGGCCTGGCCCGAATTAGGGTCGGACCGGGCCATAAGTATGTGCTTGGGTCAGACATGACAGCTCTGTGCCTGTAGTCATTGTAGACTAAATTTATTTCTAACTGAACTGCATTCAGTGACATTTTTGTTGTTTTATTGTTGTCTCTCTTTCCAGGTCACATCTGTTCGCAAGGCTCAGACTCTCTGGATGTTGAATCTGTTGCTGGTCGTTGTACCTGATCACAGTGAGGAGCAGAACCACGTGCAGGAACCTGACAACAGAATGAAGATCTCACTGCAGACGTTGAACCAAGAAGCCAAGATGCTGTATGAAAAAATGGTCGCTTTATCCATCTATTTAACCAGGTAGTTTCAGTTATCTACTATAGCTGAACATTTGCTACAAACTGTTTTACACAAGTGCTGACTGTTCTTAGGCAGCACATGCGGAAATAAGTTATTTGCACTTTATATGTCATTACATTAGTATAACAGCTTTGTAATGTTGCTTGAAAAAAAAAACTTTAATATCTCTGTGTGGGACAGTGGACAGAAAGGAAATGTCTCCAGAATGCACTCTTCAGACAATATTTGGTTTGGACTCTAGGTCATGCAACTTGATTCTGGAGGAGATGATGATCGTGGATCCGGATCAACATCTGGAGTGTGAAAAGGAGATGAATGCGTGCAAAAACCTGCAGGTAAATGAACGAACTCCAGTTAGCTTCACCCCTGCACTTCAGCCCTGATTTTTTTTTTTTTTTATCTTTGGAGTGATTTCTAGCTTTGGAGTGCTGGTGATGAAAGTTTTAATGGTGTTCACAGAGAGAGTGTGAAAACTGGGTGGAGACTTGGAAAATGCTGCTCACAGGTCATGGTGATATCTGGGATCTGCCCGTCAACCAGCCTGCATCTTTACACCCTTTCATCAATACTGATTCAGCAGACACCGTGAAGGATCAGGTCAGGATTCACCTCAAACTAAACTGTTCATCTGAACGATTGTCGAGCTGTGACTGAAGATACGAAGTGAGCATGGCAGAACGTTTCTCTCAGTTTCTGAGACACATTGGGATGTCAGTGCAAAAGATAAAACTAGAGGAGAAAAAACTTTGTTGTTTTGCTGTCACTGACATCAAATATGTTCTTCTTCTACTTTTGCCTGTTCCTGTCACCAGAGCGAGACATCCTCCTCCATCTCTGTCCTCTGCATCCTCTGGCCTCACTCCAACTACCTCACGTCCTCTCTAATTTCATCCATATATCTTCTCTTTGGTCTTCCTCTTTGTCTTTTTATCCTTCTACCAATATACCCACTGTCCCTCCTCTGGACATGTCCAAACCATCTCAGTCTGGCCTCTCTAACTTTAGCTCCCAGTTCTTCAATCTCTGATGATCTCACTCCTAATCTTTATCACTCCCAAAGTGATATTCTCATCTCATCATTTTCCATCTCTGTTCCTACAGTTTAATCTTTTGATTTTATTGTCAATGCCACTGTCTCCAAGCATACGTTTTTTTCTTCTCCTTTACCTCACACCCAACCTGTGGTACATAACCACTGTCAATATTTAACATCAGACCTTCTACTTCTACCTTCAGGCACATCACCCTATCTGACACTCTCTTCCCTTCTACTACATTCTTTGCCAACTCCTCCTTCAGGACCACCCCTACTCCATTTTTCTTTCTATGCACACCATAGTAAAACAGTTTGAACCCTGCTCCAAAGCTGCGAGCCTTGCTGCACTTCCACTTGGTCCCTTGGACACATAAAACATCTACCTTCCTTCTCTGCATCATGTCAGCCAGCTCTCTACCTTTGCCTGTCATTGTCCCCACATTTACAGTTGCAACCCTCAGTCCTACATTCTTCACTTTCCTCTTCTCCCTCTGTCTCCTGACACGTTTCTCTCCTCGTGGTCTTCGACTAACAGAGTAGCACAATTTCTGCCGTCACCCCGTTTGTCAACAGCACCAGTGGCGGTCTTTGTTAACCTGAGCCTCGACTGATCCAGTATGGTGTCATTTGAATGAACCCGCATGTTTGTTTTGGCAAAAGTGTTTTAAGTTGGATACACTTGTCGACACAACCCTCACCATTTACCCAGGTTTGGGACAAGCATGAGAAATACACTGGCTTGTTCTCCCTAGTGGCTGGTTTACTGACATCAAATACCTGATTATAACGGGTTTTTTTTAATTGTTGAAATACTGAAATTATGAGATAAATATAATGTAGATTTGTGTGTGTGTGTGTGTGCCTAAAGGTCAGTGAAGAGGCTTTAGTGGAGCTAACACCAGACAAAGTCAGAGATGCCAGAGATGAAGCTGAGGCAGACCCAAGGGAGAGAAGCTACAAGGTAAACTGAAATGCTTCAGAAAATTCAGAAGTTTTCTCAGTTTTTAATCTTCTTCTTTACTTTAAATTAGCATGTAATTCAACAGCATTTTATCCATCCATCTATTCATTAACTTTTACCCACTTATTCCTTTTCGGGTCACGGGGTTCACTGGTGCCCATATGCAGCTATCGCTGTGCGAGAGGCGGGGGACACTCAGGACAGTTCTCCAGTCCATCACAGGGACACATAGAGACAAATGAGACAAACAACCATTCACTCTCTCACTCACACCTAGGGACAATTTAGAGTTACCAATCAGCCTAACATGCATGTTTTTGGTCTGTGGGAGGAAACCAGAGCACCCGGAGAAAACCCACACATGCACGGAGAGAACATGCAAACTCCACCCAGACAGGCCCCTAGCTGAGATTTGATCCCACGACCTCTTCGCTGAGAGGCGGCAGCTCTACCAACTGAGCCACCATGCCATCAGCATTTTATTTAATAGAAAAGAAAAAAAAAAGAGTTAGAAACGTATTTGTCCAGCCAATAACATTGGAATTTTACTGTCAAAAAATAAACTTTTTTGTCTTCTGTATGTCTGGATGTCAAACAAAGAAGTACTAATAATTATAATAAGTTTTACTTTTATTATTTAACAGATGACTGCTGAATTTCCTCAACCACATCAACAAGAGGTATGTCCAATCCACCTAATCCTTTTCAGAACCAGTCCTTGCTGTAAGTAATTGTTCTTTACATGAGTATTTTTAGGTTGTGCAGCTTTATGCTTCCATTCATTATAATTTGAAGTGGTAGAAAATATGATATTTTATATTTTGTACTGCTTGTTTAATAAAAAAAAAAAATGGAAAGAGTCACTGTTCACATGTTTGAGTTGTTCACAACATCACCAAATCATTGTTGATCTCTCTGTGAATCTTTTGCGTGGTTTCATAGAATAATATTCAACACATAACCTAAAATAAAACCAGAACTTTGGAAATAGTTTGAAAACCGAGAACCGGTGTAACACTGGGTTTTCTGCTTCTCTTAATTTATGTGATGCCCTCGTGTTTACAACTTTATCAACAGGTTCACTTCAAACTAGCGTTATCTCAAGTTTCAGTGGAGCTATGAGCCCACAGATGAGGACTGTTATGTTGATTTTATATACAGTAATAAATCAAACAAACTACATTTTGCTTCTAATCATTATATACTTTACTTTTGTTATGTACGGTAGCTTTCATTGTAAGCATCTTTACAGTGCTGTATTGAAATTCTTTTTAAAGTTAACCATATTTATACTTTCTCCACACACGACGCAGATTACAGAGTGACTAATTGAACTAAAATCCATTTTGTGGAATGCTGTGAGTTTAACTCATGATAATTTTAGTAACAACGTTTTCTTTGTCAGACTGAAGCTAAGCTAAAGGTTTTATCATTGTCCTGCAGGGAGCGGTGACACTTTATGAGACGCCTGTGGTCAACACCATAGGCTTTGATGGAAGCATCACTCAAAAAAGGCTGGGTGAGAGCCGTGTCCATCTGCCCGGGGTCAGACAGCTCAGATCATGCATTCTTTACTTGTTAGTGGCAAAACTGGAATTACAACTGACCTTTATCTGTTTGTGTTTCTTCCTGTCAGACGGACGAGCTGGTTTTGTCTCAAGTAACGGAAGAAGACCAGAGAGCTTTTAGGGAACTAAGCACAGTAATAATCCTGCAGCAACAGCTCATGTGAGTTTGCACTCAGTTTTCTTCAGTACTGTTTTTTAATGTAAAACATAATTCATATTATATTACATCACCTTGCACAAATCTCTAAACGTTGCTCAGTGATTCGGACCTGCGTGCGAAAACTGCAGAGCAGCGAGCCCTGAAAGCTGAGGAGGCCCTGCTCGAAGCACTGGACAAGTTTCAGATATAACGATGCCTCTCCATCAGCTCCTCCAGGAACAACCTCAAATAAAACCAAACCAGCAAGCAGCACCAGAAAGACCAAGAAATAATAATCTGACATGGGGTCACATGCACCATGTGGTAACTTTTACTACTCATCTATATATTTGTATTTCATTTGTTCAGAGAGGAACTATTTCCTGTTTTACCAGCCAGTTCACATGAGTACAAAGCAGACGATCAACAATTTATAATGACAGCTATAATCTGCTGTATGAGGATTAACATCACTTCATGTTGGCTGTTTTCAGCTGAACTTAATTCAAATCTCTGTTTTTCTTCTTATTAAATAAATGAATACAAAGTTTATGCAAACATTTCATCAGGTCTTTTCTGTTCTGTTTCTTAACTAAATAGCTAAAAGTTACTTTTAAACAGAGGCAGGTTATGTTTAGTGGAGGCTCGGACATTTAGAAGCTAAGGCTCTGAGAATTAAAGTATCTCAGATTGCGACTCAGATGGTTTTTATTTACATTTTAAAAAATATCCAAAGCTATTTACAATACTATGATTGTGCATAACCAATAATCCTCTTTGTGTTTGTTGTCGTTAACATGTAATAAAACCAGCGGTGATCCATCGCAGATATTCTAAAAGATAAAGAGTTCAGTCTGTCACATCATCTGTGAGTCTGTCTCCGGCTCTGCAGCTGTCATCTCTTCTTCCACAGCAGGGGGGGGAGGTGGTGGGAGGGATGAAAAGTCAGAGTTCACGTTGAGGAGATCTGGAGGCAGAGGAAACACCATCGCAGGGTGGAGATAGCGGAGGGAAGCTCGGAGCACGTCCCAGGCAGCGATCTCACTTTCTGACGCTTTTACCTGCTTTGGGAGAGAACAAGAGAGAGACTGCTGAAACCTGAAGACGCTCCCGTTGATCAGAAAATACACTGTAAAAAAAACAACATTAGTTAAATATCCAATCAAATCTAAGATGCACAAATAAGCATTAAAACAGGAAATGACTAGAGCGGTGAAACGTTTTAAAAAGGTACGATGACTTACTCTGAGCTGCTGCTGCGTCTTGGCCTCTGCAGTCAGACTCTGCTGCAGCTCGGCAGGAAAACTGAGCTCGTCTCTGATAGAAGATCACAAACAAGTTCTACTGAAACTGATCACACTGCACTGGAAATCAATCCATCCATCCATCCATCCATCCATCCATCCATCCATCGCTGGACTGTTGAAGCAAGTTGAATTTGAACAGATGACATTTGCAGAACTCAGGAAAAGAAAAGCAGAAAGAAGTTTAAAAAATGGCAGAGATGTTTAGAGAAAGCTGAATAGAGCAGAAATAAGCAGAATAAGTTCAGAATCAGTTCTTCCTCTGATTTTATCCTCAAGTGGTGTCCCTATTGAGTTTGTCGATTCCTATAAATATTTGGGTACCTTGGTCGATTCACATCTCTCTTTTAAGCTTCACATGGAAAACCTAGTAAGGAAACTAACTCTGAATGCTAGGAAACGCCTTGTAACTGCAACTTTCCTTCCCTCCATCGACTACGGTGATTTTATCTATACTCTCCTACAAGCACCATGCAAGTGCTGGATGCTGTCTATCACGGTGCACTAAGATTCATAACTGGCTGCAACTACCAGACCCACCACTGCACCCTGTATTCACTGGTTAACTGGTCATCATTAACTTCACACAGACTCTCTCACTGGTACATTTTCATCTTTAAATCACTTCTTGGTCTGCTGCCTTCATACATCTCCTCCTACATGTCACTGCGTGAGTGCAGCTACAGCGTGCGCTCTCAGGACATTATTACCTGCAGTGTTCCCTCAGTGAGGACTGAACTAGACAAAAGGGCCTCCTCCTACTCCGCTCCCGTTTCCAGGAATATCTTGAAAAAAGATCTGAAGCTCTCGACCGTGACCTCTCTAAGTGACTTTAAAACTCTGTTAACTACCTGGCAAAAACCAATGCAGACATGTTCCTGTTTTTAGTTTCCTAAATCGCCTTATAATCTACCTGTTTTTTTGTTGTTGTTTGTTTGTTTGTTTGGTTGATTGTTTGTTTTGGGCTACTATTCCTCTTGATTGTCCTTTTGGTTGCTATTTTGTTTTGATTTGTAAAAAAAAAAAAATTAAAAAATGAGAAACTTAAATTTGTATGTCTATATTCTGACTGTCTATTGCTGTCGTGGTTATCCATTGCTGTTATCACTCTTTGATAAGAAATCAGGTCTCTCTTGTGAATGAGTCCCAGAGGCTCAATGTGATTAACTTGTATAAATAAAGGTTGAATGAATGAAAAAAGTTGAAATAGGCAGAGGGAGGCTGAAGAAGTTACAAAAAAGAATTCTGAAATTGGTTAAAATACATATATAATGAAATAATAAGAAAAAAAACAAATATCAGCAACAACAAAAAAATTACTCTGAAAAGCTAAAAAAAAAAAAGCTGAAATTAGTAAGTAAAAAAAGACTGAAAGGAACATAAAATATTTTATTGTGAGTAACACAAAAAGTGGAAATTAGCAAAAATAGAAGCAGAAAAAAGCTACAATTAGTAGAAAATACATTAAAAAGTATTTTGTAGATAAAGAAGCTGAATTTAGCAAAAAAAAAAAAAAAAAGCTACAAGGCCATTAAAAAGCTTAAATTAGCAGAAAGAAGCTGAAAAAAAGTGAAATTAGCAGCTGAAAAAAGCTTAATGAGCAGAAGGAACAACAGCTCGAAGGATTTGAAGGATGTTAAGAGATTATTTTACAAGCAGAAAAGCTAAATATTTCAAATATTAAAAATTATACAATTAGCAAAAGTCAAAGCAGGAATGTCATGAATGAGCCGAACGTTTTGATACGAGTTGCTGAAATAGCACGAAAACTGCAGAAAGACTTACGTGTTGAAAAATGTGCGTAAGAAAAGTGGATCTCAAAAACCCTTTTCAGGAGCTGATTGAGCTCATGATAAAGTAATAAAGTTTGCTCACTTCTGTCTGTTGGCCAAAGATCTCATGAACCACAAGATGAATTTTAATGAAACTTGTAGTTTGTCATCATTAAATTCATAACTAATGAACTTTGAAGGTAAACTTTTAAAAAAGCATCGTTTTGACAGATTTTGAGCTAAAATTTTCTGCAGAAGTAGCTGAGAACACGTGCAGTATCCTCGCATCACTGAACGGATTGAATCAGGAAACTGTCAGCCGGTGATGTTTTCAAGGTGTGACCAAAAACAAACAGAAGAAGTTTTCAGGCTCACATGTCGGCCCTCTCCACCCTGATGCCCCAGCGGCCAGTTACAGAGTCGACAGCAGTTTGGATCTGCTCCCCGACCCTCCGCCTGTGCAGCAGGATGTGGCTGAACGTGTGTTGGGCCAGAACGTCCCTGATGGCTGCCTGCAGCAGACTCTGCAGCACCGAGGTCAGGCTGGCCAGGGCCGCGCTGCACAGAGCCACGTTCTCTATCTGGTAATAACACACCGCGCTCAGCTCAGGCCTGGCCAAGTCCTTCGTCACCACCTGGAAAGAAACAACGTTTAAACGTCAGCCTGTTCTGCTTGTTCATGTCAGACATGGCTGCTTTGAGCTTCAGAGTGTTTTGTACCACGTGAAGAGGAACCTTCAACATTCTGAGCCGGATGTCGACTATGTGACACACATCGAGAAGAGGGAGGTAAAAAATGAGGCCTTGAAGGAGGACAGAAAGGCAGAGAGGTTGAGCTTAAAGAAACCTTTCTCAAAAATGATTCACTTGTTGCCTTAATGATTTCTGGTATTAACCAAACAAAAACTAAACTTTACCGATCGTTAAAATTCTGTCTGTAAACCTCAATTTCATTTTTTAAAGAATATCTTATTTATACAACTTTTTAACATGGCTTATTATTATTAATAAAAATAATAATAATAATAATAATAATAATAATAATAAACTTCCCAAGCTAGAAAATAAAAACATCTGGAAAGTTTAACAAAGTCCATGCTCAATAATCCAGGTATACAATCCAACAATTTTCAGTCAGGTCATCTGGACCTGTCATCAGACCTGACTGAAAATTGTTGGATTGTATACCTGGATTATTGAGCATGGGCTTTGTTGGTTTTGAACCAGTTTGACATGACTGTTGACGAGGGAGAGGGTTGGCACCAGAGGAGGGGGCATGCCAAAGAGACCATCTTAGCACCAACATAACTGGTTTGTTCCACTTTGGAGTAAGCTGTTGTGGGAAGAATCAGTTTTGTGTTGTGTTTCCTTGACTGATGAAGCCTTCTGGATGGAAGGTGAAACGTTTCAGCACACAAAAAAGAAACTGTCCAGATGACCTGACTGAAAATTGTTGGATCTGGAAAGGTTATGACAACTAATGCAAAAGCCCCTACCCTGCTGCATGTCTTTATGTCACCATGTTGCTCTTTCTTGCGCAGAGGTTGTTTTTTTTAAAGATACAATTGTTTTAATCTCCTCTTTCTTCATGTTTTCCCTTTTCCTCATCTAGACGAAAAGGGCAGCGCTTCCCATGAGGCTGCAGCCTCAGGCATCCCCGTCTACCCATGTTTGTTTTCTTTGGACGGCTGTACTGAAATCTAATTCCGTTGTGCTTCGGTGCAATGACAATAAAGCTGATTCTGATTCTAAAGATTGGTATGATATTGTTTTATCAGATTTTTGGTATATAAAAAAACGCATTATTTGAGATTACAAGATGGAAGTTTTGAAGAAAACTAGAACCTATGAAAATCATACATGACTATAGCACAAGCTTCTCATGTGTTTTAAGAGTTTTTGTCTTTAGCGGATTCCCTGTGGCTTATTTTCAGTGTAACTAACATTTTTGCCTCTTTTCCTTCATGTGTGCTCACTAATTTGTCATGTTTGTCTTTCTTTATTAATACATATTTATCTTGATTCACCTGGTAACCTTGTTTAATTGTTATGTAATGATGTTCATGTGATTCAAAATAAAATAAAACTAAGAAAACCTTCATAAATGATCTCTGTTCATTTCTGGTAAAGTGCAACCTTGAAATACGCAACTAAAATGGAAAATATCTCTCAACTCCTCATAGCCTTATAATTCATGGGTTCTGTATAAAATTTTCATTTTAATAAAAGACAGATTGTCAATCATAAGAGGTGAACAAAAATTAAATAAAAGTGATTTGTGTTGACCTGGTCCTTTGGGTTTTCCCTGCAGCAGATGACCGAGTCTGAAGATCACAGCTCTCTCGTGCTCTCGGACAACCTTTAAATTAAAATAACATCTTTCAGCTGAACGCTCCAAATGAACAAGACGCATCGAACAGTTTCCAGCTGACATATTCGATGTTTAACTCATCTTCTAACATCTTGGCACTGTAAACTCCTGTGTATGGCTTTAAAATTTTTAAAAAAAAAGGAGCTATTAATGATAATTTAAAAAGATAAAAATATTCCAAACTCACTTTTCTAAAAAATATATTAATGTTTTATCTGTTTGTCACGTTTTGTCAAAAGCTTTTCAATAATAACAATTATTTAAAGTTTCAGATTACATGTGAATGATAATTTACAGTTACAGTAAAGTTCAAATCAAAACAGTTGCATTCAACAGATCAATTCAGTAAATTATCTCAATAATAGACTTTTTTTCTTTTATTTTCAATAATGTATAGTCTCATTCTATGTGAAGACTCATTAATAAGAAATACCTGTTTTAGACAGATAACAATAAAGTACAATAAAAATGCAATTAAAACAAAGTAGTAATGTTTATATGCAGCTGTTAATGTTGAATATCCTTTAACATGCGCATGTTTTCTGCATGAACACTGGGAGCTTTTTTTCTTTGTTGAGTGTGTGATATTGGGTCTGAGATGTGGTCCATACTTTGACACAGAACCAGATGGAAAAAGGGAGGAAGAGGAGAACCAGGGTCAAGGCGAACACCATCAGCAGCCACTCAAACACTCCCAGGTTTTTACGCTTTAAACCTGCAGGCGTGCAAAGAGCTCAGTGTGAAGATGATACACCGTGAAAGATGGATGCAAATAAAGACAAACAGATCTTCAACTCACCGTCTTCCTGCCCTGCTGCTTCCAGGAGCCCCAGACTCTCGTCTTTCACCTCGCTGTCCCTAACGTGATCTATGTCCACCACAGTAGGGCTCAGCCTAACCCCCTCTTCCTCCTCCAGCTTCTCCTTCCTGACTGACAGAGTTTCAGGGTGCCCACCTGCCCCCGGAGGCTTCGGTCGTTGAGTTTTTGGAGGCCCTGGGGCTCCTCGCTCCCTGTCTTTACGGGGCCTCGTCCTCGGCTTGTGGTTTGCTTGGACATTTGAGGGCCTCTCCATATCAGCTGAAGGAAAACAGCTGAATTTTTCACTTTAGAGAAAGAGCTAGAGCAGTTTCTTGGAGACGAGAAGGAAAAACGGACTCAGCTGATTCCCCTGTGGCGCTCTGGAACAGCTCGGATGAGGGAGTGGGATGGTGGGAGGACCTATCTAAAACCCTGTCAGCTTTTTAAATTTATTTATTTTTAGCTTTTCTGACAGCCTCTGTCATGCCATTTCTGACATTTTCTGTCTCAAATGTCAGAAAAAAATCTCAAACAAAATATCAGGACATGATGGAAATGATTCATTCTTCTTTCTTGCTCATGCAAAAACTACCATTATCTCAACAACCCAGATTTTCTTGTATTTGTCAAACATTTTTTTTTCTTTTAGAACTGTTGATAAAACGCTCTAATAACAGTAAACCCTACATCAGCATTGACACTCGGCCTTGTTGTGCGTGTTTGTTCTTTTTAAGACAAATGAACAGTGAAATCCTCATGCATATCACTGGCATGCATTGTTTTTGTATAAACCTGACAAATTATGCACATGAATTATAGATGCAACACAAATGTTGCCACTTAAAACATTCAGATATAACCTTTAACCTTTCATCTTCTAGTCCATTTTCTTGGATTGTGTGATTAATCCATAGATGTGTGAAGTGACGACTGAGGGTTAAGTTGTGGAAATGATTGTGCAGAAGCTCAGGGAGTCACAGCGAGCCCTCGCTGGGAATGTGCAGACTCAGGCTTATTGGAGATCATCTTTGTTTTGCCACAAGACACTCAATACCCTCCCTAATGTGTCTTTAATTAAACTGAATATTTATTCTGTCACCTGGAGAACATCTTTAGTGTCCACCCTATTGCCATCATCACACTGCAATGACCCACCTTTGTGCGCTCATAAACGTAATGTAAGGTGAGATCCGTTATTTATCCCCAAGGGTTCATTCATTCAGCAGAGAATGGGAGCAGTAAATGGTAAATGGGCTGCACTTATATAGAACTTTTCTATCTTATCAAGATACTCAAAGTGCTTTACAACACATCTGTGTCCTCATTTACCCATTCATACAGCACTCTACTAGATCTATACAAATATTAATCAGTGCTTTATCACATTCATACAAACATCTGAGGCAATGTTCTGTGTCTTGCCCAGAGACACTTCGTCATGTGACTACTGGTGGAATCGAACCCCCAACTCTTGCACTGGAGGACGACTGCTCTAATAACAACAAACAAATGACATTAGTACAGCATTCACAACAGGATAAAACACGACAGCTTTAGCAAATTAAAAAAAAGTTTAAACCAACTCAACAAAACAAGAATAAAACATTTTTATAAAATGTTAGTCAACAATAGAACTCCACAGTTTTGGATAAAATCTGTGTCGGCACCAACTGTCAGATCGACGCCAGCAATTGTACAAAGATGCTTGTGGTGCTGTACAAAGTCAGGCTGGTTGGTTTAAAACAGGTCAAGGAGGCTACTTCATAAATTTATTAACCATTTATTTGCTTTTAAAAACATTTATATTTAAAGATGAACTCGCCCCAGAGAGAAAAAAAAACATTCACCACAGGTTTGTGATCAGTGTCCTGATCTCGAAGGAGAGACACCATGACAGAGTCAGCTGTATCTGCCTTCACTGACGCTGGCTTATCATTTAAAGAAGTGAAAGGACCCCAACTCTGAGAAGAGAAACTACATTAAATAAAACACTATCAACTCGCACCCTTTTGGACTTGTCCGGTACAAATCAACAATAGCCAGCAGACTGGACCCTGGTCCGGGCTTGCACCTTTTTATGTTAACGGTCAAATGAAAACAAAGACAACCTCATGAAACTTGAGAAACAACCTGCATTAAATGAAAAGAAGCACTCCCCTCCTATAGAGGATACTCAGTGGTTGTCAACTTTTAAAATAAAAATATAAATTATAAACAAATGAAACAGAGAACCAAATTATATATACAGTATGTTATACTGTATTGTACCAGTATATATCCATCCATTATCTTTACCCGCTTCTTCCTTTTCAGATCACAGTTATAATTTCTACTTTCAAAATCATAATTTCAACTTTCAAAGTCATAAATATGAGAAACAAAGTCATAATCATGAGCTACAAAGTCATAATTTTGACTTTCAAAGTCATAATTTTGAGATACAGAGTCATAATTTTTACTTTCAAAACCAAAATGTCCACTTTCAAGTCATAATTTTGACATGCAAAGTCCTGGAATATCTTGCAAAAAGATCTGAAGTTCTCGACCTTGACCTCTAAGTGGCTTTAAACATCTGTTAAGTTCCTGGCAAGAACCAATGCAGACATGTTCCTGTTTTTAGTTTTCTGCACTGCCTTATAATCTAGCTGTTTTTTTCCACTACTTTTTCCTTTTGACTGGCCTTTTGGTTGCCATTTTATATTTTAATTTGTAAAAATAAATAAATAAATGTATACATATTGTTGTCGTTGTTATCCACTGTTGTCATCACTCTGTTAAAGAAATCAGATCTCTCTTGTACATGAGTCCCCAAGACTCAATGGGATTAACCTGCATAAATAAAGGCTGAATGAAAAAATAATAATAATTTCAACTTTCAAAGTCATAATTTTGACGTTGTCTCTCATAATTATGACACCATTGGACGTTGTTGTTTTTTTTTTTGGCAGAAACGGGCTTCCATACTTTCCTACTAAACGTTCATTGACAAAAGTATTCAGACGATTATTCATTAAACTTATACTGAGTACGGCTAACAGTTAACAGAAACCTGTTAGATGCTTTAAAGGATAAAATCGTTTTTGTTTGTTTTTACTTTAAAGTGTTTTCCTCAGTTTTACACCTGCTAGGTTTGACCAACGTGGCATGAGGCGTTCAGGTAACGTGCAGGCGTGGAGGACTAGCTAACAGTCCAGACAGCTAAAAACAACTTGTTTTTTTTTTTTAAAGCGCCCCAGATTATTAGAAACAATATCACCAAACAAAACTTTGTGGTAGCAAAGTTGTTTCCATAAAGAGGAGCAGCGGTTAACTTTGTCTTCTGTAAGGTGGGAGCTAAAGTTTGCTAATTTACCTGAATACAGACATTTATGAATTTTTAACATGCTAGCATGCTAATAAAATGTGAAGAAAAACAAAGCATTTAAGTCATAATTTCAACTGCTAAAATTAAGATTAATAATTTTTCCTCTAAGTGAGAGGTATGGTGTTTAAAGGTGAACATTTTTTGGACTTGAATCTTTTTCATATTCGTAAATATTTGTGAAATATGACGCTAACCACACCTGCTTGTGTTATATTTTGCTTTGAACGAGCTAGACTTTATTAAAAAAATTAAAGTGTTCTTGATCAATAGTTCTTCAGCTTTCTGTTTTTTAAATTTTTTTAATTTTTTCCCCACTTAGATTTACTTTTTTCCACCCATCCTTAGTTTAATTTTTGTACTTGAACTCACATTTGTGCATAAAAATAGGAATACACTATTAAAAGTAGGACAATGGAACAGATGGGCAAAAAATAAAAATAATAAATCTTGATATGACCTGAATTTTTCAAATTTTCCTGTTGGTAGAGCGCTGTTTGTAACAAAGTGTTAAAAATTTAACTTAAATTGAGATTTTTGTTAAATTCTCTGTTAATTTTGACACAGACTAGTTGCCTTGATTTAAATTAGCTTTTTTTTTTATTATTATTTCTGAATGACTCAACATTAATCTGAAACTGATCTGCACTTAAACAGCCAAACTCCACAAGTATTACAAGAAATACTGAATGCTTGCAGGGAAAAGATGGCTCACAACTCATACGCGTCTATGAGAGTTAATGCGTGGGAAAAAGTTTGGTGGGGTCATTACAACACCAGCAAGTTGTGCTGCACTTAACCTTTGTTGGTTTTATTCACACTCAAGCAGGCAAGATGAGCCAGGAAGACATTTTTGCAAAGCTGAAGAAGGATGTTTGCTCCTTGCTGCTTTCCTCTAAAATGGGTTTGGATCCTGCTCAGCTCCAGCAAGATTACATCAATATGTTGGGTCATCCAATGCCTCTGAAATTCTTGGGCTTCAGGAACATTATGGACATGGCTAAGGAGATGCCCGATGCAGTTTCTGTGAACTACAGGCCAGATGGAAGCCCATACTTAAAAGGTAGTTTTCTGCTCACCTAAAAGAAATTGAATGACACGATCAGAAATGACGGCAGCACGGTGGCGCAACTGGTAGAGCTGCTGCCTCTCAGTGAGAAGGTCCCTGGTTCAAACCCCGGTCCAGGGGCCTTTCTGGGTGGAGTTTGCATGTTCTCTCCGTGCATGCGTGGGTTTTCTCCGGGTGCTCCGGTTTCCTCCCACAGACCAAAAACATGCATGTTAGGCTGATTGGTAACTCTAAATTGTCCCTAGGTGTGAGTGAGAGAGTGAATGATTGTTTGTCTCGTTTGTCTCTATGTGGCCCTGTGATGGACTTGCGACCCGTCCAGGGTGTACCCCGCCCCTCGCACAGTGATTGCTGGACATGGGCACCAGCGACCCCCGTGACCCAAAATGGAACAAACGGGTAAAGAAAATGGATGGATGGATCAGAAATGACATTCCTAATGCTAGTTCCACATCTTATTGCATTTATTCCCCTCATCGTGCTTAATTAAATTCTACATTTAACCGACTCGAAAATGCTTGTATCGCTTGGCATTTCTCATTCATGTCGGGGCTTTAATTTTTGTTTTGTGTTCTAACAGAGTGTTTTAACAGTTCATCTTTGTCTTCCACATAACAGCCGTGAGTAACGAGACGACTCGAAACATTGAGGAGCTAGTAGCCAATCAGCGGATGTCTAAGTCTGACAAGGCAAAGAACAGGGGCTTTAACCATTTCTATCCTCTTGATCGTCGTCATCATCATCGGTTCACCCCTGTGGTCCTCCCTCGAAGAGGTCATGCTCCTCCAGCCCTCCCTGCACACCTGAGGATGCAGCTTCGCCTCCTGTTGTCCCAGGTGTGACTCAGAAGCAACAAATTAAGTATATTTTCATAAAGATTTTCTTAATTCCGGCTTCCGCAGTTTAATTTATCCTCGTTACACTGGACTCTTTAGACTTACTGAAGGTTTTTGAGCTATTTATAGTTTTTTTTTTTTCAAACAAATAACAAAATGACATTTTATGTTAACATTAATAGTGTTGTCTTGTAAGCTTTATGATGCTTATGTCATTTACATAAATATAGCTGTGAAGGTAAGTACACCAAACCAGAGACACGGAGACATCCTGTGTAACTTTGCTGCTGCTCTTCTAGGGTCCAGTTATGTTATCCCACATTGAGAACTGTTACTTGTGCTACTTTGGCTACCCACTGTGGGTCCACAACTATGGATTTTACTCTACTGGAGAGATGCTGGAGGCAGCGAGGGATATGATTCTAATCCAACAAAGCAGGTTTGGCTCAGTTCTGACCCTGAGGGAACATATGATACCAAGGCCAGTCATGAAACCATCCAACTTAACAAGGACGACTGGCCCGATGCAACCAGTATACTTTTTGTCAAGCATGCCGGTTTCCAACGGTGCAAACATGAAAAATCCTGAAACAACAAAACCTTCAGGTTTGTTAAATGATGTGGGTACTAAATTTGCTTTGTTGATTTTTTTTTTAATCAACTTATCTGAATATTTTTGTATTCTTTAGCTGAAGTTCTAGTGCAGGAAGGTCCTCTGAATCGGCCCTCTGAGGCTTCTCTGGGCCCTGATCAAGAAGAGCCAGGAGTCGGTATCAAGCCAGAAACGAATGAGAAGTTCCATGAAACCAAATCAGTGGATGACCAAGACGCTGAGCACTTTCAAAAACTTCTACGCAAGGTTTGTTCTCGTTAAAAATGAATCTTACCTAATGCACATGAAATATATGTTAACATTGTTCTAGAATTGCGCCACTCAAGGTGGCTGCATGTTGGAGCAGCTCTGTTACTTTCATTCTGAGATTTTGCTTTTGGAAACTTTAATTCCTCTTTTTCTGGATGTAAATCACATTTTTTGGATGATTGTTTCCTCTGGTATCGGATGCTGTGCAGCTGGAAGGATTTTTACTGAAACTTTTATAGTTTTGGACATTTGTTATGATGCGTAACCATGGCAACAAGGCAGTTTTCTACAACCAACAGCTGCTGATTAACATCTCAAAAGCTCAAATAATATCTCAACTACAGCCTCAAATCTCAAATGAGTTGAAAGGATGTTCTGTGGACGCATTCCCATCTACCTGCCAGCTGTGCTCGAGTGCCTGACCACTGCGATCCTGGAAGTAGCAGGAAACACGGCTCATGACAGTGGAAGGACAGGATCGTCCCTCGGCACCTACAGTTGGCTGTCCGCAGCGGCGAGGAGCTCGGCAGACTGCTGGGAGGAGTGGCCATCGCTCTGGGAGGAGTTCTGCCTGGCATTCGGGCGGTCCTACAGCCCGGGGGAACCGAGAGGCCAGCTGAGTCTGGGTGGACGGATCGGACGGCATCTGCAGCCAGTTTCTTAGGATCCACTGTGGGATGGACCTTTACAAGAGATCCTTCCTGCCTACAGCCATCAGTATCTATAACAACATTTAATGAAACCAGGATAACGGAGTTACAACAACAAATACTTTCCCTTTGGGATTAATAAATTATTTTTGAATTTGAATTGAATTGAATTGAACTGTTGAAAGATACTCATTGCAAACTATGAAATCAAACACAATTACCATATTTTATGCTCTATAAGTCACTTTTTTTGGGGGGGGGCATAATTTGCATGCCCTGCGACTTATACGCCGAAGTGATGTATTTATGGATTTCCCCCATATTTATAAACCAATTTTTGGACGAGATTTGACCGTTTTCATTAATTCTGACTGAAATATTGAACACTACCATTTTCAGCCACTAGATGGCACTCAGTAGTAGTAGTAGTAGAATCGATTTTTGAAGTGCAGCACCTCTGAAGAGCATTTATTAAGTAAAAGTTCAACTGAGACACACCTTTTACTATAATTTCGAACAAACAAATGTTTGGCAGCCCATTGAATTTTTGGCACAACACCGGCCCACATTTCCGGGTTGTCAGCGGTGATGCATAATAGATGTGAAGTATACGGCAAAGCAAAGTATTTATGGATTTTTCCACTTTATTAGACATATTTGGACTGATGCGACTTATAGGGCGGTGCGACGTGTACGGCGGAAAATACGGCATATCAACTGGTGCAGTTTAAAAGCGTTCTCCAGTAGTTTTTCATTTATACCGATGTGCGATTCTAAAGGGCCCTGCATACTCCATCTGAACTGGTGAAATTGGCTCTCACTGACGTATAGGGCTGCAACAACGAATCGATAAAAAATCGATTATTAAAAGTGTTGACAACGAATTTCATTATCGATTCGTTGTGTTGCGCGATTATGCGTCTCTCGGCGTTGCAGAGCCATTTTGTTCACCTGCAGAGCATTGTCAATGCTGGCTGACTAAAGTTTTAAATAAAAAACCTCTGCAGAGCGAGTTGAACAGAGCGAGGGGGAAGCAGAGCAGAGGTGGTGTTTTCAAAGGAATTGAAGTAAATTTTACAAATGACCCGACGCAGAAAAAACAGTTCGACCCAAATCCTTAAAAGTGCGGGAGCACTTTATGCTTCACAAAGATAAAAGCTGCGCAACGTGCAGCTTTGAAAAATGACGACATGACACGGGAGAACCACGCTGATGAAACGCAAACACGTCGTAGTCGAGGGAGCTCGGCAGCAGATACAACTCGTCATGTGTTGCAGGTGAGTCTCTACAATATTCACATTTGAAAACGTAACGTCAGTCTCTCCAGTAGCTGAAGATGCTGCTTGTTTATCTGATTAATGACGGTGATAGAGAACGTGCGGGTTACTTTTTTATTTCATTTAATTGGTACAAGCAGTGTTTAAATGTGATTTGTAAATAAATCCAACACAAAGACGGCAATGATTTAGTGATTAAGCTTCAGCTTTTAATTTGCTGGCAAAGTCTGAAGACACTGCAGGTATGGCAGGATGAATTGCATTTAAACTGGAATTACAGTAATTTATTACATCTACTCAAATGTGTGATTAAGTATTTTATGTGTGTGTGTCTCATTCCAGAAAACAGCAAACGATGACATCCTTCATGATGGAAGACATCATGGACACCACAGCAGCAGCTGTCTTCACTGAAAGCATCTTTAACGTGATCGTCACCGACATGAGGCCTCTGTCGATGGTTGAAGACGAAGGCTTCACTACAATAATCCACACTTTTAATCCAGATTACACTCTTCCTTCAAGGACACATTTTACAAAGTAGCTACATATCGTGCAGGTGTAAAGCATACATTTGGATATATTTTTGTGTATATTGTTTTTATTGAAGCTATTTGACACAACTTTTTTTTAATTATTCAATATTTTGCTAACAGAATAGTCAAGTAGCAACCTGTTTTTTGTGCGATTTGCTATGTCAGTCAAATGTTCCATTTTGGATTAAAGAGGTGGAAATTAAAACATTTGTTGTTGTTTTTTGTTCGATTCATCAATTATTAAATAAAAAAAATCGACAGATTAATCGATCATTAAAATAATCGTTAGTTGCAGCCCTGTTGATGTAGTTGCGTGACGAAAACTGTCATTTTGTTCTCAGAAAGCTCCACCTGCCCCTGTTCCGCACGAGGCCCGGACCAAACTTTTTCTCACAAGCCATGTGTCCGTTTGTCAGCCCGTTTGTCAAATCGGAAATGTGCTCGGACATTCAGCGGTACGACTCTTCAAACTCACTCAATTAGTCCAATGGCCAAAATCTCCTGGATGGAGCTCGCTCAGACATGCATGGAGGTGTCTACTTGCTGAAAAGTGTGGCGCTTTCTTCAGGATAGATGTGTGGCCAAACAGTGGATTTAGGGACGGAGTGAACGGCGGTAAGAAACCTGTGCGGTGATGTTTACTGCAGTGGGAGGGGTTTCCCAGGAGCTCTGCGCCGTGAGTCTCGTGGACTATGAAAGGTGTGCACGAAAGCAAATGTCCTGCAACCTCGTGACCGCGAGTCGACTGTTCGGCTTCACATGGAGTAAACGGGCCCCTTAAAGTTTTGTATTAACTCGAGGTAAACGAAACGTTTTTATCTGCGCACTCTACTCAACAAATCTAAGTGTGAATATGACCAGTACATCAAAACTCTTTTCACCCTAATCACTCTTTCATGGATGTCACCATTATGATTTATTTTCACTCACTTCAGCTGTTTCCTGCTCACGTTATTTTTAATTTAAGGACACGTTAACCATCAACGTGAGAAAACATTGTGCAGATTTTGTTTTCTTTTTTCTTTATGATTTTATTTTTTATTTTTTGGACCGGTCTTCATGACATTGCAATGTGTACTTTTAATTTTACATTTAAGAACACGGTTTGTTCTTGAATAAATCCAGATTTTGCATAATGGATGATCAAAATGGAAAGCTACATGAAGCCTTCATTAAAAGGTCATTGTTTTTACCTTCAGCACGTCATAAGACAGGAGTCTTCTTGTCATATAACAGAAACGTCAAACCATCTGCACACACTTGTACTGTCTTAGGAGCTAGATTAAAAGTATAATGTAATAGTTTTGTGAGATTACCAAACTTTTTCCTACTTTTGTGTCAGCTTGAAGAGGAGCTTCGTCAGCAAATTCTGGAGAATGGTGTCGCCGGCACCGTCAGTCAGGAGCTGAAGGACAAGCTGCGAAAGGTCAGACTGCACGCTGGTTCTTCAGCAGACTTCCTGGGGCTTTTTGTCCGTCGCTCAAACACAACAAGCAGCAGCAGGTTCTGGCGCACAATCTGTGCGTCTGTCCCTCAAGTGCACCTGCTCTCATGGTTCATTTATAATGAGTTGGGAGAAGTGGAGGATAAATGAGGGGTTGTAATTTATTTAGCTTCCTCTCAGGCTGTCACGTCTGCCTGTTACACCGACACGATGACAAAAATAGCTTAACGAACGCAGCAACGCTTCCACTGGAAATCAACAAAACAATCTGAACATAATCTGTAAAATGCAGATTAGATATTTATAACTTTTTCACAAAGATTATGACGATACTTGTACATATGTCAGAGGAAGGTAAAATGACCGTCTTGCTGTAATCAGTCTTCTTATTTTGTTATGTTGATTTATTATTTTGAAGAAAAGATGTTGACTTCTAACAATGTCTGCAACTCTTTGCAGGTTGTTGCTCAGACAAGTGGTGGATTATCAGTCCATGATCTTCCTGATGAGTACAAGGTAAAGAATAGAAGAAATTCACCCGTGCATGTTGCTCACGTGAAAACTTTAGACAAAACACTGATGTGTAGGAACTTGTGCTTGGTTTTTTTTAAGAGCTGCAAAAGTATAGTTGTTAGTTCTGATCAAAGTCGTGGAAATGATCGATTCAGTCGGTCGGATTAGTAGTTCTGTTCCCATTCTTTGTCCTGAAACTGATATGTTTAAAAATAAAGCTTTATGTTCAGTAGACATGAAGCCATGGGTCTGTTTTACAAAATAACATATCCGCAGTATTTACCTTATTTTTCAGACTATAAGATGCACTTAAAATCCTTAAATTTTCTCAAAATTCGACAGTGAACTTTTTAATCCAGTGCGCCTTAAAGACCTGTCACAATAACAAATTTCTCTGGGCGATTAATTGTCTCAGAAATTATTGCGATAAACGATAATATTGTTTGAAATTTGACAATAATTAGTAATTATTGTCAAATTTAAGAAAAAAAAGTATTTTATTTAGAGTGCAATACCTTTTTTGACCACTGGATGGCAGTGTAAGACTGTTTGAACTGAAGGATGGATAGAGAGGGAGCGAGCAGCATGTCTCTTTAAGAAAAATGGGAGGGATGCCCCTTGACGTGACATGGGCTGTCTGTCTTTTTTTTTTTTTCTTCCGGTTCTCAAAATGGCAGACACACGGTGTGGTTCGAGCTCTTTAGCATAGCATTTGTCACACAAAGCTTTTAATAAAAAAAATCAGTAAACAAATTCTCAGCTTCTTTGTGCAGAGAAAAACAACTTTTTACACGAAGGCACGAGTTTCAACCATGAATTTTGAAGCTTCGACAAGATGGAGGTTTTTTTCCCCCGAGGTCGGCCTGTTAGCTTAGCTTGTAGCTTAGCTTCTCAAATTTGCTTTTAGCGTTCCAAAAACACGATTTTGGATCATTAAAATGGATTTTAAAGAGACAGGGAAGGGTCAGTGAAGAGCACCGGAGTTGAGCTTTTTGTCATCCAGTGTTTTCAGTAGAAAGAGAGAGACACAAAGAAACGGTAAAGGCGATAAATGGAAATGAGGTAGATAATTTTCATTTATCATGCGATTAATTGATTTATTGTTTATTGCAACTTATGTATTAATTCTGGTTGTGCTTACTGACCTCGAACCGATTTTATATGGTTATTGTGAACAAGTTGAATAAAGTTTGACTTATCCGTTTTGTTTTGCTTAATGCGCCTTATAGTCCGAAAAATACGGTAACTTAATTGAACAAATTGCTCTAAGCAGTCCATGAAGATGGTTAGAAGGCAACAGATCTTACTGCTATATTAATAAATCACAAAAATGTGATTGTATATCGTGTAAGTTATCTGGCTCCAGTTGAAGCTTATTTTTTAACTTTTTGTCTTTATGCTTTAACGTACAATGTTTAAAATCTCTTTGAACTTAAGAAAACTTTTTAATTCAGGGCTTATTTTATTCTTCTGTCATATCAGAAAACTGAGCGCCAATCTGGTGTAATTCACTGATAATATTATTCAAATTAATTCGCTAAAAGTTCCAAAAGGTTTAAAGAAATCGGGAACAGGGTTTAGAGTAATCGGGAGTTTTTGTTTTCGACTGTTTGAGTCTAAATTCCTGTCGCCGTCATTAAGACGCTTGTCTGTGGAAGCCAGATGAACTGATTCTGACTAAAAGACAAAGCGTGCGATGTTTCACCTCCATCCTTTAGAAACTTTTTGGAGAAGACCTGCCGTACACGGAGAGCGGTTTCGTCAGCGTCACTGAACTCATTGATGCCCTGAGGGACACTTTCTATCTGGAACCAGCAGAGGACGACAATGGACACCACTGGATAGTAAGGGACATAAAAGACTGCGAGCACAGACGATCAGGTGTGAAGAACTACCACTTTGTCTTTTATTGACCATTTTCTTTATTAGAAGTCATGACTAAGATCCAACCACCATCTTGTGGAAATCATCTGGCTTTTGCTCTTTTCATCTGGGACATTTAGTTTTATAAAAACTGTCGTAACGATTTAATGTCATTTTATTCTGCACAGTAGTATTACGTGTAGTATTTGTAGTAGTAGTATATGTGTAGTATTATAAATAGTTTAAATGGTGTCTCGGGTGTTATGTGACAAAGACCTTGTTTAATTTAATGTCTTTGAATTTAGCAGGAAATAATTTTCTTTGTTTTTCTAGATTCAAAAGAAACTACAGACCTCAGTGAAGGAAAGTTGGCAGCTAAGAGCTCTTACTTCAGCTCTGGAGGGTCTCCTTGGGAAAACAAACAAGGAGGAAATGATGGTGGTGATGATGAGGAGGAAGAGGAGCAGGAGCCCAGTATCATTTCCAAAACGGAAAAAATGGTTAGAAAACCTCCACATGACAGAAAGCAACAACAAAGAAAACCACGATTAGAGTACCGGCTCATCTTCACTGTTTTTCATGGGTTCTCCTGTAGACAGTGGAGATGTACACGGCCATTCAGGTGCACGGCAAATCTACCATGCCCCTGGACGCCGTGAAGAGTCAGCGTCTCAAACCACCAACGCGCCACGATGCTCGCGAGCTGGTACAGGTCCTGGTGGAGCTTGTGATGTCGCCTGGAAGTTTCTACATCCGTTTTAGTGAGAGCAAGGAGGCGCGGGCCTTGGAGGATATGATGTTGGAGATGAGGTGGTGCATAAGTCCATGACAACTTTGAAAGTTCTTGATAGACCTTCTGTCTGTGCCAACTACACGCCAACAGCACCAATTAGTTTATTTATTTATTTATTTCTGTTTTGTGCTTCTGTCTGCTAGACAGTGTTACACCTGTCCTGAGGTGTCGGAGCGATACCGCCTCCCTCAGCCGTTCATCAGACTGGGCCAGGTCTGCTGTGTGTCCCCTAAAGGAATATGGTTTTATCGAGTGGTGATCCACAGAGTTCTAAACCCCACTCAGGTTGAAGTGTACTACGTTGACTATGGCAATATCACAGTAGTCCTGAGCAACAGCCTCAAGTTTCTCAAGTAGGGGCTTGAAAAACTGTAAGCACTTTAACGGCAACATTCGAAGCCTTTTAATTAATTCGGTTATTTATTTTGCAGGTTAAGCTTTTCGGTTCTTCCAGCACAAGCAGTTCCATCATCTCTCGCTGGAATTAAACCCACCTCGGTAAGTTTGAGGCAAACACCTAATTACAGCCTTCATTTTAACACCTGCAACTTTTATTACCGGTAGTTTTAAAAAATAGATATAAACACGACTGTTCTCGTCTGTAACTTGCAGGTCAACTGGACTCCTGAAGCAACGGTTTCTTTCCAGAAACTGTGCTGTGATCGCACTCTAGTGGGTGCTTTGGACTGCTACACTGCAGATGTGCTGCAGCTCTACTTGTGTGACACACACACTGATCAGGACATCTATGTGCATAGTGTCCTCATACAGCAGGGCCACGGGGTCGCATGCAGCCCTGCAGCTGCTGCAGCAGTGAGTTAAACAGAGTAGAGTTGTTGTTTTTACATTATTACCAAAACACAAATAATGACTTATCAGGAGCCTT